GTGAGTTCCAGGACAGGCACCAAAACTACACAGAGAAACCCTGCCTCGAAAAATAAAAAAATTAATTTCCAAATGTATCTTCTAAGTTGAACATTGGGGGAACTCTATGTCGAATCTATTATCTACTTCTCAACAACGAGGTCTTTTGTAGTACAAGTAACCCTTGACTATGGAGCTGATGCCCTTGAATTCTGATCCCCCCCTGCCTCCACCTCTCAAGCTCCAGGACTTCAAGTGTTCGCCACCCTGTCCAGCTCTCTATGTATTTATTACTTATTATTGCTCTCAACCCGCTGATGGAGGTTCAGTGACAAGTCAGGTAGGCAGCTGGAGACAGACAGAAGTCCCCCTTCTTCCTTCTGTACCCCATACCCCCTCTCAACAGTGCCCTGGAGAAGTTCACTGTGGGCCTAAAAGCATCATGCCCAAATGGAGGGAGCACCCCAGATAGAGGGACGGGATTGAGGGAGGAGTCAAGACTGAGATTTTCCAAGGGCAAATAAGAGCTTCGGGTCACGTGACCAGAGCCTAGCTCACAGACACTTGTGGAAACTGAGGCTCAGGAGTTAGGCTGTTCCTGGTCTGTAAGTGAAAAGCGTAGGACTTGAGAGCAAGCTTTAGACTCTACCACCTGTGTGCCGCTGGACACTTCCTCACACAGTGTCCCAGAACTGCCTGGGAGTTTACAGTGTTCGTTACTCTGATGACGTCCCACCCAGGCCTCTAATTCCACACCGCGGTCATTGCTCTTTCTAAACACAGCACCATCACCAGTCTGCTTAAAAAACCCTTTCCATGTCCACACTGACTGCAGTTGAATGCCCGCCTTCAAAGATGTGTTTCTTTTACAAGTAGAAAACTAGAACAGATTCAGTTTTTTTAAAACTCCAGACTGTACCGTGCAAGATGTGGCCTGTGTCCCACTTACCCTGTCCGCCACAGCAGCCACCAGGCTCCCCCACATGCTGCTCCCCCTGTTTGGGGGGAATTGCCCTGCCTTCCTGCTCCTGCAAGACTCACACCATGCCTACTGGTAAACAAACCTAGGGGCCTAATTCAGCTTCACCTCCCTTGAGGTCCTGAGGGAACCTGGACCTATCACAACATTTACACTCCAGCTTAGAACTGTGAGGCTTCTTGTCATCCTTCTACATGAAAGCAAGCCCTGTGTCCCCGGTGCCTAGCACAGTACTTGGCATGTGGCAGATCAATGTCATTTGCTGAAGGAACACAAAGAAATGACTTAGCCAGAGTTACAGAGCTGGGATTTGAATTTGCTCACTCAACAAAAACGAGCGTCTACATAATCCCAAAATGTGAAATCTGAAATGCCCCCAAATCAGAAAATCTCTGAATAGTGAAAGAAGGGCCACAGATGGAGAAATCTGTGTCTGAGCTCATATGATGGGTCACAGTGTAAACGCACTTTAGAAACGTTGTGTGAAATCCTCAGGCTGCGTGCATAAAACCTATCTGAAACGTAAGTGAATTTTGTATGCACATTTGAGTCTCATTCCAATATCTCATTATTTGTATGCAAATATTCCCAAATCCAAAACGTGTGTGTCTGTGTCTATGTGTGTTTGTATGTCTGTGTGTGTGTAAACTCTGAAACACTACGAATTCCAAGCATTTCAAGCACTTGTGTTTTGATCAGTTTACCGATTTCATTTTAGTGTTTTGTTGTGTGTTTGGGTTTTGTAGTGTTGGGGATTTGAACCCAGGGCCTTGCATGCTAGGTAAGTGCTCTACCACTGAGCTATGCCCCCAGCTCTTGGTTTGGATTTTTTTCAGGCAGGGTCTCACGTGAAGGTGTGAAGGTCGATCTTGAACAATTGGGTGACACGTGTAGGAGATGAGAAAAGGGCACCTTGGGGTGTGTCTGTGACAGACATTCCCAGGGAGGACGGGGGAGGCCTGGACATGGTGGCCTCATCCCATGAAGTGGAGGCCAGGACACAATGAAAACGGGAAAGGAGAGAGCGAGTGTCGGAACGCTGTCTGCCTGCTTCCTGGCCAACATGGTGTGGGCTGTTCCACTCCATGCCTTCCTGCCGCAGAGGACTGACTCGTGGAAACTATGAAACCAGATCTTTCCTCCCTTCAAACTGTCTCACCAAGGTGTGGTCATAGCAACGGCATTTAACACAGGGAGGCTGCCTTTCTCTGTTTACCTCCGGAGTACCAGGATTAGTACTCAGTTTTCAGTTCAAGTTTGAATCTGAAATGCACATGGAAGTCTTAATTTTATTTATTGGGGGTTGGGGGGGGGCTCATGGCCTTGTACTCACTATGCAGCTAGGACGACATTGACCTTTTGATGTTACGCGTTAGCTCCACCTCTGCGGTACTTGGATTACAGGCATGCACCAGCGAGCCTGGCCCTGTGTGCCCTCACTGAAGCGTAGAATGCAATACATACAAATGTAACTAGTAGACTTCTCGGAAACCGGCCTGTTATTGCACACTCTCCAGGGTCTTATCCGTAGAGTTCATGGCGTTCTGTGTCAACTCAGAGTTACCTTGTTCTTCCTTATTGCCATAATTTTTTGTTTTTGTTTGTTTTTTGAGACAGGGTTTCTCTGTGTCACTTTGCGCCTTTCTTGGAACTCACTCTGTAGGCCAGGCTGGCCTCGAACTCACAGAGATCCCCCTGCCTCTGCCTCCAAGTGCTGGAATTAAAGGCGTGTGCCACCACCGCCTGGCCCTTATTGCCATAGTTAACGTAACTGGTCTCCAGTTGACAAGCCATGTGGGCTATTTCTGCTCTGTTACAGTGAATGAATGACCTCAGGTATATTATTTCACATGTGTGCTCGTATGTGTAAACAGCAAAAATGACAGGCTCTGCACTTCATTCATTCACCTGAATGAATGAATTTAAAAGTAAGTTGATGTCTCTAATAAGGATTCACTTGAAGAGTTTCCAACTCACTGACTCTCCCTGCCTCCCTCTTCTCATCTGAGAAATGGGAAGAGTATCCCTTGGCCCCGCAGATTCAGGGATGCATGCAGTTGAGAGCGGTCATTTTTCTGCATTTGAAATTCTTCCTCTATAGGGAGTTTCTCTCTTTCCATCTGTTTTCTGCTAGATTGAAAGGCTTTCTAAATAAGGATGCAGAAGCTGGCATATTTTGTAGTCTTCTAACTCAGCAGTTTACTATGATCGAGGAAGGTTTTTCCTGCAATGTGTTTTATTGTTTTTCAAGACAGGGTTCCTCTTTGTAGCCCTGGCTGTCCTGGAATTCGCTCTGTAGACCAGGCTGGCCTCGAACTCACAGATCCACCTGCCTCTGCCTTGCACGTGCTAGGATTAAAGGCGTGCGCCACCATCACCTGGCATCTTTTCTTTTACTCAGGGATGAATTTTTATTTTTACTTTTAATTAATTTGTTTGTTTTACTGTACTGGGCACATCTGCTTTGTCTCCAAAAGGAGACACCCAAAAAGACGGACAGTTATCTAGCATTTCACGACAGCGGGTCTCACCACCTCTAAGCACTAGCCCAACACACGGGACAAAGCCGGTAAGGGAAGAAACACGGAGCGGATGCTGAGGATCTGCCTCAGCAGATGATGAGTTTTCTCTTCCCAAAGTGGGCAATTTGAGAACTGGTGGGAACGTGACTGTCACTCAAGGGTGAGACCGTGAGGAGGGACTCCCAGGGCCCGCAACGGGCGATGTCTCAACCCAGCTGTTACCACTGACATGACAGCATGGGTACGGGCCCGGGTGCAGGCTGGGGCAAAGGTTGGGAGCAGCCTGCCGCATCAACAGCTCAGGGGCTCTCCTGGGGTCACCAGCTCTGCCTGCTATGGCTTTTTGGTTGTTAAGGAAACTGCTAAAGAAAGACAGAGGTTCTTGATCCAACTGCACACTGGAAGGAGACACCTTAAAAACACACTACCCCCAGAGTCTGATTTTGTTTGGTGTTAGATCCTAGGCATGTCTTTTGTTTGTTTGTTTATGTATGTGAGTGCTCTGTGGGCATGTACACCTTTATGCCAGAAGGTGGCATCTGATCCCATGATAGATGGTTTGTGAGCTACCATGTGGCTGCTGCTGGGAATTGAACTCAGGTCCTCTGGAAGAGCAGCCAGTGTCCTTCACTGCTGAGCCATCTCTCCAGCTGTTTTTGTTTTTTTATCTCTTCAAATAATTCCAGTGAACAGCAGCTGAGATTAAAGGCTCTGGGAGGGGGATTTCTGGACAGTGAAATCGCTCGCTCGTGTGACTCGGGAAAGAGAGAAGAGGGTGTCAGATGAGAGGAAACCCGACCTGTGGTAATCCGGGAACTCCACCAAGGCCAGGCCGACCCACTGGCTTCCCGGCTTTTCCTAAGTGTGTCTGCTCTCAAGATAAAGGATGAAATCCTTACCCTGTTGCCTTGCAGGCTCTGACTCCGTCCCAACCTTTCCACTTCTTTCTGCCTTTGCTCCATCTCAGCCTTCTGTCCCATCCCTGGGGGTGCTCTGTGCCCTCCACCAGGTGACCTTGGCCTGTGACATCCTTCCTCCCTTCCCTCAGCAAACATCCACACCTGTGCCATGCATTGCACACTGTGAAGAAGCGGCCAACACCAAGATCAGGGGTCCTGAAGCTCCCGGGGTTAGGCTCTGCCTGGCCCGCTCAGCTCTTTAAAGTTGACACTTAAGCTGAAAGCAGCTGACAAAGAAGATGGGCTGGGAGTGGTGCACACCCTTATCCCAGCACTCAGGAGGCAGAGCTAGGTGGATCTCTGTGAGTTTGAGGCCAGCCTGGTCTACAGAGTGAGTTCCAGGACAGGCACCAAAACTACACAGAGAAACCATGTCTCAAAAAAAAAAAAGATAATCATCATCATCATCATCATCATCCCCAGCGCCACTAAGAAAAAGAAAAAAAAACAATCAGGGGACAGCTAAAGAAACTTTAGTCCATTTCCACCCAAAGGGCATGGACCGAGGGATGTTTGCATTTATCTTGTCTCATTATTCTTTGTGGTATGTAAACCCAACAGGAACATGGAGATGAACCTGACTCTCATGAAGAACCGGGAAGACCCCATAGAGGGAATGATGAAGACGGCCAAGGTAGAGCCAGCTGGCGCTGGGTGTACAATCCTATCGCTGTGATTATCCAGGATGCACTCTGTGCTGCTCAGACCCGTTAACAGAGAACGGTCTTTCCATTTCCCCTCAGACTGCACGCCGGAACTTAGAGTGCTCTTACTGTCCCAAGCAAATGCAGGAGACATGCTTTCTCTTCCTGGGTTATTTAAAGCTTTCCTTCCTGCGAGAGGTGCAGCGTGAGGCAAGAGTAGAGACTTCCCCACTCCCACCCCAGCACCTCCACTCCTCTGTCCTTCTGCTTCCATGGAGATGTGGATATGCTGGTGAGTGGCCTGGGGTTCCATGCCTAGAGAGATGTGAGCGCAAGGAAGCAGGACCCATGGTCTGTAGAGGCCTAGCTGCTGCCTCTACCTGGGAGGCAAGTATGCCTTGATACACCCGCCACAGTGGCGCATGCCTTTAGACCCAGCACTCTGGCGACAGGCAGTAGATCTGGTTGAGTTTCAGGACAATCGGGGCTACACGGAGATCCTTTCTCAAGCCAACAAAAAGAATGCCTTGATGGTGGCTTCCTTAAAAACAAGTTCACGTTTGATTAGGTAGTAGTTTCTCTATGGAATATGGAGCCTGGGACCACGGGCTTTGGAGGCACACATAGTTGGTAGCACAGAGACTGAATTAGACTCCAGGATCTTTTGCAGGGCAGCTGGGCACATTACTTGATACTGCAGTCAACTGGAATTGGTCTCTGTCCATACTGCTTCTAGTTTTTTTGGTTTTGCTTGTGTGTTTTGAGACAGTCTCACTGTGTGACTCTGGCTGTCCTGGAGCTCACAGAAATCCTCCTGTCTCTGCCTCTGGAGTGCTGGCATTAAAGGTGGTTGCCATCATGCTGGAATCCTCATTGCTTCTTGCAGAAGTGGAATCGTGCCTGTGGAGGCACGTCTCACATTTCTAAGGGTGGGTTCCAGACCACACAGAAGCAACGTGCTTCTTGTTGCTATACAAAAGTGTCCAGCAGAGGGAGCACGTGGGCTGAACGCCAGCCTGGGCTCTGAAACCTAAACCATTTGAAGCACCCAGGGACGCTTGTTTTCTTACTTGACCCCATTTTAAAAGTCACAGGCGAGTGCGCTACCCAGGCTGGTAACCTCAGGTCTGTGCTACTGAATTGAGCTTGGGCTGGGGAGTGGACTACACTCACCTTCACCGCTCCATGCCTGGCATCCTTGTCTACCCAGGCTGGCATAAGCACTCCTCTCTTCAGGCAGCTGCACAAGAAACAGACAAAAATCTCAGCCTCGTGGTGGTGGCAGTGCATGCCTTTAGTCCCTGGGAGGCAGAGGCAGGCGGATCTCAGACATTACAGCAAATTAATACCTACCCTCTCGTGGTCACTATTTACCAGTCTACGAAACAACACTGACTCTCTGTCTCCATTAAGTTGAAGGTTTTGATCTTTTCCTGTTCCTTTCACTATTTATTTCCATTGACATCCTAGTAAAAAAGAATCATTTTTATACTGATTTTATTTTTTTTTCTAAAGATGTTTTGGATTTTTTTGTTGTTTTACGTGTCTGGGTGCTTTACCTGCATGTATGTCTAGGCACCATGTGCATGGAACTGGAATTATAGACAGTATGAGCCAACATGTGGGTGCTGGGAATAGACTCAGGTCCTCTGAAAGAGCGGCCGCTGGTCGTAACCACTCTTAACTACTGAGACATCTCTCCAGTCCTATCCTGACTTTTAAAGATGTCACTCTTTGTGGGTATCAGACAATAACACATTAGGGTAGTGTGAGCCCTGGGTCGGTCAAGGTTTGAAGCAAGGATTTCTCCTAACCTGAGGCAGGCCCTGTCGCCTCCATATTCAAAGCTGAGCGGCACTAGCCAGAAAAAAATTCTGACCTTCAGATCCTCCCGATTCTAAATCACACATTCAAAATGTGAACACTGACAGGGCCCCGAGGTCTCGGCCAAGTGCAGCGGGGGCTTCAGGCACCACAGACCGTGGCCCAAACTGAGCGATGACTGAGTCAGGCAAACCAGATTTCTGTCCCATGACACCAGGGCCGGCTCCGACCGAGGTCCTCGGAGGCTGACCAGACAGTCTCTAATGCAATAAAACGTCACTGCAGAAAGTCACAGAAGGCATTTGCCTGCCCCCAATGACAAATGCTCATTTTCAGAAAGGATTTCGGGTCTTGAACGGCAAGAAGGAGGAGAAAGTACTAAGGAAATGCTTTGAGTTGCTTAAAGAACAATTCTCCCCTTTGGTCTTAATGGTCAAGTTGGGGTTTTTTGTTTTATTTTGGTTTGGTTTTTGTTTTTCCCTACTTTAAGTTCAGTACTGATCTTCACAGTTTGTTATAAGGACTAAGCCAGAGACCAGGGTTGAGCGTTTGCCCAGGATGTGCAAGGCCCTGGGTTCACTCACCAGTACCACATACGAACACACACGTTCGTACATAAAATTTTTAAAGACGAATGAGCTAGTAAGAGGACTTAGATTCTGCTTTAGTGTTTCCACAAGGCAAGGCCAACCAACGACCTCCAAATCCAAGCAGACTGGGGGAAATAGCTCTCGTCCCAAAAGTCCAAGGGAAGAACAAAACTTCAATTCTACCTACTTCCTAGCTCAATGGTCCTTAAACATTAGTGCACTTCAGAATTACCTGGAAGTTTTTTGTTTTTGGTTTTGGTTTTCAAGACATGGTAACGTGTAGCCCCCGTGTAGCCCTGGCTGTCCTGGAACTCACTCTGTAGCCCAGGCTGGCCTCAAGCTCACAGAGATCCGCCTGCCTGCCTCTGCCTCCTGAGTGCTGGGATTAAAGGCGTGTGCCACCACTGCCTGGCTTCGCCTGGAAGGTTTACAAAAGGTGTCTAATGGCACTCCCCTGGAATTCCAGCAACTGGAAGGCTAAGGTGTAAGAATTGCAAACCAAGTCCAGCCTAGGCTATGGAGACAGACCTGTATCCAAAACTAAATGAACAGAGCTGGAGAGATGGCTCCGTAGTTGGGAGAGCTCTCTGCCCTTTGCCCTTCCAGAAAACCCAAGTTCAAGTTCCAGTACCCACAAAGGTGAAAAACAGCGGCCTGTAGCTCCAGCTGCCATATATCTATCGCCCTTTTCTGGCCACCAAAGGTATTCACACAAGGCATACACTCACACATACGCAGACACATAAATAAAAATAAATCTTAAAAATTTAATTAAAGGAGACAACATGAACAAAACCAACAATGGTGAAAAGCAAGAGATTTCTGTCCTTCTCTGAAACATTTTCAGTCTGGTTTAGATCTGGGTTGAGGCCTAGCAGTATGCATTTTTAGTGAGTTTCCCCACTTAATGCTGGAGGTTCAAGGACCACACCCTCAAACCAGAGTCTTGAGACCTGTTTCTCACATTTGTTCCTCTGAATTTGCCAGGATCTACTTAATCTGTTTTTCGTTTTGTATTTAAAGTAGTAGGGGTTAGGGAAGGAATTGGTGAGTGGGCACTATTTAGAATATGCTTGGAATACCTGTCTCAGGGGGCTGGGACCGAGGCTCAGTGGGGACACAGTCAGTACCCCTCCAGCAGAGGATTCAGTACCTAGCACCTCATAAACTGAGTGTGGTGACACATATCTGTAATCCCCCTAGGGAGATTGGAAGTTCAAGGTCATGCAGGCTATATAAAGAGTTTGAAGCCAGCTGTGGACACCTAAGACCCCATCTCCAAAAGACACTAAAAAGGAATGCCTACCTCAGACTAACACTCAAGGACAGTTAGCTATCAGTCCACTTTTTAAGTCTTATTTTAACTATGTATATTCATGTGTACATCTGTTGGATATATGCGTGTGAATGCAGGTACCCATGGAAAGCCAAGAGGCATCAGATTCCCCCTAGAGTTGGAATTTCGAGCAGGTCTGAGCTGTTCAAGATGGGAATCAAATTCAGATCCTCCACAAAACAGCAAACACTGTTAACCACCGAGTTCTCTCTCCAGGCCCCATCCTGTTTTGTCAAAACCTTGATTATATAGCCATAATTGGCATCCTGTCAGGAGCCCACATGAGGATTTCATTACTCTCAACCACTGGAGCACTTGCTCTTTGATGGGCACATTTAGTTCTCCACCAAAAATCCTTCTTAAAGTCCCGACATCACTGCGATGAAGAACTGATTATGGAGTCTTCCTTCCTGGGTTCAAATCCAAGCTCTACCACTTACTAGCTGTGTGGCCTTGAGAATATTGCTGAATGTCTCTGGACGTCTTCTTCCTTCGTCTAGAAAGTGGGGGAAGGAATGGTGTTTATCCCCTGGGGTGGTTGTGATTTAAAAAAAAAAAAAAAGAGTTGAGTAGATAGTTTTAGATGAGTACCTATCCCAGACGGTCCTCAAGGGTATTATTAGCAACTTTATATATATATATATATATATATAATGTTTTTGAAACCTAGGCTGGCTTCAAACTCACTATGCAGCTAAGGATGACTTTGAACTCCTGTTGCGGCTACTACTTCTACCTCCCAAACTTCTACCTCCCAAACGCTGAAATTACCAGCCTATGCCACCATGCCCCGGGAACCTATTTAAGAACAAACAGAAAAGAAAACCTTTAATTATTATTAGTCATAATGTGTATTAATATCTTATCAAGAGAGCCTTTCTAACATGAAACCTACTTTCCAAGCCAGTGTCCGTATCAGGACACTTGGTCTTGGAGACTCGATTCATCTCTGCCTTAGTCCTTTAGCCGATGTCCCGACAAGGGCGGTCATCCGGAGATGAATGAGGCAGCCAGTGCCTTCTGTACGGATGCCACAACATCACTCCCTGAGGGCCAATGTAGTAGTGCCTGCCTATAATCCCAGCACGCAGGCATATGGCCATATGGCTAGCCTGGTCTACATAGTGAGAGACTCCGTCTCAAGGAACAAAACATCCCTTGAAATGTGGCAGAATGCTTTAAGATTTATGCTGGACAGCAAACTCAGGCTGCTGTCACACACACTAGGCAAAGCCTTTAT